GAAGTAAAAGGAAGAAAAGGTGGATCCCTGGGGTTTATTGGGCAGCCAGCCGCCGAGTCCACTTGGTATATTCCAGGGCAGAGAGAAACCCTGTCTCAAAAAATATAAAAAGGTGGATGGAAGACATCATAGTTGTCCTCTGCATGTATATGCATACATGAGCATACATACCTACAGACAGAGCAATAGAAAGTAAGGGGGGTGGGAAGAGAGAAAACAGAGAAAAATAGCCTTGGTGTCCATGTCTGATTCCAACACTCAAGATATTGAGAGGCAGGAAGATTGCGAATTTATGGTTAGCCTGATCTTGAAATACCTTGTCTCAGAAAAATATCAAACCAACAAGATGGGTACTAGATTAATATTACATAGTCTCTGCTCCTACGTATCTGATTTCACTGTCAAGTTAAAGAGTTTTCTGTGACTATGTTTTTTTTTATTCTTTTGTTTTCTTGGAATTATTAATAGCCTCAGACTTTACATACATTTGTGAGTACCTGTTTGTCCTCAAAGGTAATCTGTCAGTGCCATTGTTTGCTTTCCAGAGTCTTCTCTGCTATCTCTTCCTCCTAGACTTCTCTCACTCTCTCTTTTTTAATGATGATTCTTCTGTTTGCTCAGTTTCTATGACTTCATCTTTTTAGGTTTGATTCCCTCATTTTGCTAAAACACATTTTTTTTACTGATTTTCAAAGAGAATACGTGGAATGTAAATTTTTTTCAGTGTTGGTATGAAAATAATTACATTCTATCTTGACATTTGATTGATAGTATGACTTGGTGTAGAATTGTCAGAAACCACTTAATCTCATATTTTTGTGTCTCTTACCTTGCAATTGAAAAGAATATAATAAATCTATTAGAACATTTTCATTAGGCATAAAAAAGAGCATATTCTAATAATGGAGGTTTAATTTTTTGTTACATGTAACAATTTCATGGATATTTATAATATAATTGGCCATAAACTCTCTGTGTTTCTTGTTACAAGAGATGTATATTTGAGTAGGAGCCTTGAGATGTTTTTTTTCTTTGTCACTTTGGCTAGCCACGGTACTCAGTTAATCTTAGCTTGACCTGAAGCTATTTTGTAGTTGTTAATATCTAGTCAGTTAAATTTAAGTAAAAGAGATTATCCTTGATAATATGAGTGAGTCCAACCAGTCATTTGAAATCTTTAATAGCAAAGGTGAAGTTTCCATGAAGAAGAAATAAATCCTTCCTCAGTGTGCTTGCTGCATGGTTAGCATCTGCCAGTTGACCTATGGATATTAGAACTGTGAGTCTCTGCAGTCATATAAGACCGAAATAATTCTCCACATAGTTCTGATTCTGTTTCTCTGAAGAGTTCTGATTGACAGTGTTCAATGACCCTCAGGATCTAGGGAGGGAAATTAATAAAAGCAAAACAAATTTTAAATTATTTAACTCTTTGTTGCAAGATATTTGATTCCATTGTGAATTCCAAAATTGTTAACTGTAAAACACTGTTTCTTGTTTGGTGTGGTTGATTCCTATAAAACACCTTTACTCCAACAACTTTTTATTGTAAACAGGTGATTACAGTGTGGTTCACCCAGCCCAAGCACACACCTGTAATCCAAGAGTTTTCTGTACCCAGGATTTAATAAAGTAAACCCTAGGTCAAGAGGCAGAGCAAGAAACCAGCTGACAGCGATTGAAGAGTAGAAGGGACTTTGAGTTGAGGGGTATTTAAGACAACATGAAGAAGAAAGGGCTTTTAGCTCAAGCTGTGGCTTTAGCTTTGGCTTCAGCTCCCCAGCTCCTCAGCTCCCTGGCTGTTTGGGCTAGCAAACCTTTGGCCTTGGATTTTTTGGCCTTTTCTTCCTGAGCTGTCAGTTGAGCTAGTGAACTTTTTTTTTTTTTTCCCATCCAGACCTGAGCTAAAAAGGAAGGTCAGCTGGGTGCTTTCTTTGTCTCTCTGAGCTAGCAGGATTTCACCCCAGAATCTGGCTCCCGAGTCCTTATTAGTAAAATAGAACAGTTAAGATTTTCATTTTTTTAAAAACAACATTTTGGGGCCTAATGTGGGGCTCAAACCCATGACCCCAGGATTAAGAGTCACAAAAATTATGTTATGAAATCATAGTAAAAATTAGATAACTATAAATAACTAAGAAATTGCAGAATTACTCTTGAAGAGACGAGGAAGATTGTGCTCAAGTTGAGAAGGGGCTTTAATTGGCAGTGGACAGAAATGCTATATGAGAATAGGTGGACAAAAGTTTTTGTAGATGGTTACAATGAAGTGCATCTATAGCCATAGAGCTAGGGAGACTAAAGCAGTAGGATTGTGTGAACCTAGATGTTTGAGATGAGTTTACACAGCAGAGCAAATCTCTGTCTCAGGACACAGATCAAAACAAAACAAAATCCCTTTCCAATTTCAAGCATAAATTATTTAACAAATTTTTAAAAGGAAGAGAATAAAGAAAGAATCAGCTGTATTTAATGAATTAGCACAGAAGCTGTCAAGATATTTCTACCTCTTAAATGCATAGAATTATTAAGTAGTAAGCCATAATTAAACTTAAAGCATATATAAATTCAGCATCCAGACGGCACACACTAAACAAATGGTTTTAAACATTGAATGGAAATAAGTTGATATATCTTAATGCTTAGCTTCCAAGTGATGAAACATCAAGCTTTCTTCAGATCACTTCCCTTTCTCTATTTAAATATAGTCCTGCAATATAAAGTCCTGAGCTCAAATATACCTGGGGCAGTGTTAGATGCTGGCTTTCTCAAAGTGAATCAGAGTCCATTGGAAGTGGGATAAATTGTGGATCCCCAGCGTCCTTGGCACACCTACTTAATCAGATTCTCTTTGACAAGGGGCATGAGGATTCACATTTTAACAGTCTAGCCCCTAGAGATTCCCCTGCATGTTAACTGAGATTTGGTTCTATCAAACACAGGTTTTGCTCCCTAAAGGACATTCAGTAATGTCTTCAGACATTATTAATCAGATATTGGCATTCAGTGGATAAAGACCATGATGTTGCTAAATATTTGAACAGCTCCATGGTAAGATATTATTTGTCTGAAAAGACTGGTGGTTCCAAAATTTACAAGCCTTGATCTACCAGGTGTGTCCAACCTAACCCACGACCTTAAGGCTGCATGTCACCAAGGATGACTATTACTATGATGCAATACAAAGTTAAACTTATTTAAAACATTCTTTCTCTCTCCCTCCCGTTCTGTGTGTGTGTGTGTGTGTGTGTGATTTGTTTTCGGTAACTCGGTAGTGTGGTGTCACTATGTCAAGAGGCTAAGCAAGCTTGGATCTTGGCCATAGTGAATGGCTCTGAAGAACAAATAAGTAGATAGAGGGCAGCTGGCATGATTAGGGGGATTCTAAAATTTCTCAGTGGGGAGCTGAGACAAAGCTATGAACTCCCAAGTGCCCATGCTCTGCTGCCAAAATCTCAGAGAACTCAGCCAAGCTCACACATATTGAACCACACATCCAGCACTCCTGAAGCACTAAATCATTATTTGCCAAGCTTTTCTTCAATAATACAGCAAAATTGAAAATATTTATTGAATTATTCTCACACTGTGTTCACCTGTTTGGGAAAAAATATATTACCTGCTCTACAAAAAGTAGTCTTTACTCAGTTTATACTTTTCTTTAAATCCAAGAGCCAGTTTGCGTAGAAGTCATATTCATGGAGGCTTGAAAAAGGTTACATTTTTTTTTAATGGGGAGTTCAGAAAGAAAACTGGAAAACTTCCTCAACATTGGCTTGAACTTTCGAAGAAACCAGCTAGTTCTGCCTTTCTTGTCCATGTTAGTGAGCTTATCAGATCATCATTGCTTAAGTCAACTACAGTGAGAGGTAGACACACTTATTTTAAAAATAGTTTTTTTTTTAACCAAATGTCTTTGTTTAGGGTTCTTTTGTTTGACTGGTTTTTCGGTTCTTTTGGTATTTTGTTTTGTTTTGTTTTTTTATGTTGTTATTAGAAACAGGGTTTCTCTGTGTAGCCTTAGCTGTCATGGACTGGCTTTGTAGACCGGGATGGCCTCGAATTCAGAAATCTGCCTGCCTCTGCTTCCCTGAGTGCTGGGAGTGTGTCATGGCGCCCATGTGTTTATTTTTCTTATGGGCATATTTTAATCTGAAATTGTGCTTTGACTCACCAGTGATGTTTCTTCTTCACTTGCTATATTTCAAAATGTTTGTGTGCACAGTCCCATTAACATTTACTTTTCATAGACTGGATATAGAATTTACACGAAGATGAGGTGGATAACACCTTATTTCTTGATTGCTTGTTTCAGTTAAAGTGGTACTCACAGCAGTGTGGTTGTCTCTCCACTGTTTCTGCAAAAGTATGTATCTAGAGCAAGATACACTTAACAAAATTCTTTGGGTCCTGAGGGTTGAGGTTTTCTCTCTGAAATAATTCTGTACCTTTCAAATGTTTTAATGCTTTTAGGGCGACTCTTAAAGTGCAAGGATTTAGGGCCCGGAGCTAGTTAAGCTTTGAGCAGATGCAATCTGTGAGACAAGAATAGTACTCATCCTTTACATTGAGAGCATGGGTGCTACATCCAGCTGCTTCCAGTCATTTGACTCCTGAAAGCTGCCCTAATCCTGGTAAAGGCAGCCTCTCCTGTGCCCAGGTCCACCCCCTCCTCCTGATTGGTGGGGCTCTCTGGGACCAGAGCCCGCCTCCTACGACGTCCCTGTGAACTGATTTGAAATAAGAGCCAGGCGGTCCTCACTAGCCTGCGCCCGACTTTTCATAGGCTGGAAAAGGAAAGGTTGAGAAACTTGACATTGTCTTGGGTAGAGTGCTTACAGAAGTAGATCAAAGAATAAAAAGGGAGGGGGACGAAAAACGTGCTCTTTGCTGCCTGTGGACTCCACCGAGTTGCTTTTGTTTTGTGGGCTTTTCTGCCGGCTTTGGAGTCTGCCTTTGGAAACCTGCGGAAGCCTGTGGGTGCGCTTCCGAGCAGCTTGCTCTCTGCCGGATGGGTCATGGAATTCTAAACATGAGGCAGGTAAGCTTGAGGGTTGTGTTTGTAGCTGCGCTGGCGCCAGTCACGGAGTAGAGGATTTAGCTTGCGACCCCTGCGACCTGTTCCTCCCAAGAGCATGAGGAATGATCAAATGCGGGGTTCCAGCAGATCCATTACGGGGAAAGAGGGGGCTACGTTTTCTTCTTAAGGCTGTATCACCTGCGGTCTCCCCACCGCTTCGACATTACTACCCATGCTAGCTTTTGCTTCTAAGAGTGGTTGCTTATGTCAGGCAGTCTTTGTAAAAGGTTCAAAGCGGTTTGTTGAATATGCAAATCAATTCCAGTTTGCCGGCCTCTGGAATGTATTGTGCTGGATTCATCTCAAGCTTTTAGCCTCTACCCTATTATGCTTTAGGTTAGAATAAGGACAATTGCATAGCCTGACAAAGAATTACACGCAGACTCTTATCTTATTTTGCTTTCACATTCTGAGCACTTTACCAGTCCGGATGGAAGAAGCAGCACTTCCAGAGGAGGCGGAGGTGGGGGTGGAGTGGGTGTTACAGACTTTTCAAAAAAAAAAAAAAAACCGTTCTAACAGTTTAAGAGTTGTGTTGCTTCCTGGAGGAGAGAACACAGCCTTGGAATTAATGAACGGAGAAAGGATTTGAGGGTTACTTAAGTTGGTCTCTGTAAAAAATTCTAAGCCAGAAGCTTCTTCCGTCGCTCTAGGGTATGGGGATAAAATTCCGTATGAACTTAGGTAGAAGTTTATGAGGTTTATAGTTTTGCTGTTGAGAAAGAAAAGGAAAGTGTGGATTAGAAGTTTAAAAAATACATACCATGACCAAGAAAAAGAAAAAGAATAAAAAAATGCCTGAAAGAGGCTGTAATTTACAACTCTATTACAGTTGTGGTAAAAATCTTACGTCAGTATTTCAATACCAAGAAAGATACTCATAAGGAGAATACCAGACTGGAAAAGTCTTCCAGTGACTAGGAAAGACAGAGATTACAGAGGAGGAGTGCTACTCTTGCCAGAGCTAAGTAACTCCGGGTGGGAAAGTGAGCATCTGTTTTGCCACCGGAAAACCTCTTTCCTTTTTTTCTTCCAATTGGGTTGGATATGCCCCACCCCAGAGTGCTCACTTTAGGGGAAAGTGAACGTTCCCATTAGTGGTTGGGCCAAGGGGTTTACAACTTTCTGTCCTTTTGCTGCAGTTTCCGGAGGTAAAGCAGAGGCCATACCAGAATGGTCAGGAGCAAAGACCCTCAACTTTCTTGTTCTATAACTTACTCTTCTGGAATCTTACTTGGCAAATTTCAGAGTTCAGAAAAGCACATAAAAGGCTGTGTGCTTTCAGGAAATTGCATCTGCCTAGCTGGAGACTGATGAAGAGGCTGGCTTTCTCGAAGTTTTTCAATCTTATAGACCAACCTCATTGTTTGAATATCTAGCAACCACATAGGATGAGCAAATGGGGCAAGAAGGCATACTGGAAAGGAGTAAGAAAGAATAGACACACAATAATATTTTTTACAAGGTCCTAAGCATGAACAAAGAAGTTATTTGATGCTGTTTGGAACCACCTGTCTTGTCCTCGGTGATGTGTGAACTCAATTTTTAGAATCTTTGTGCCCACACAATTCATCTGGAATGGTGACACTCCCTCTGTCTGATGCCTAAGGCAGGCTGTGCAGAGCTTGGGATGATTTTTCTCATGTGTAACTGTGGCATTTGTATGAAGTTGGAAAACAGCCCAGTGTTGAAGTTTTGAGTGTATAAGTAGGCATGTAGTAACTCCGTAGTTATTTAATGAATGGATACCTTTTAATCCCACATCCCTGGATATGTATATAATATTTTTCTTTTGTCTGTTGGGTACTTGAAAAGAGGGTGGGACTGGAGGAGGAGATGAAAGGGGATAGAGAATCATTGTTCACATATGAAACCAGGCATGGGATGGTAGCATTACTGCATGGGGGAATCCCAGGTTTGTTCTTGTTTCTCTTGGGGGGGGAGGCTTACTGCTTCATTCATGCAGAAGAATCATATCCCCCAACCAATTTGTCATCTTAGGCCCAGCAGCCCCTAGCTGCATTTGTAGGGTTAACTATCAAACCAATCCATGTGTCATCAGCTCCACAATGAAACACAACCCTTTTGCTGGTAAGTGATCTGTCCCTAGGGCTGTGGAAATGCCTAACAGTGGGGTGGCAACCCAGAGCAGATCCCTACCTCTAACTAGTTAGAAATTCTCCATAACCAGAAATTACCAACAAAGTTAAAACGCTGCCTGTTTTTCTGTAAGGTTCAGGAAGGTTTGGGATTTTGCCAGGTTGTCAGCAGAAGTACACTGTAGGTCAGAATTCTTATAGAGTAAGGCCACATTAAATGAGACAAAAAAGAAAAAAAAAAACCATAAACTTGACTTGCCTTTGTCAGGAAGTAATTGTAATTGCACTTTGATCATAAATGGAAAACTTTTCGGAACCGTCTTTGAGAAAGAATTTGCTACGTTTCCAGGCATAAGGAAAGGCATGGCCACCTGTTATAGAAGCCCAGCCAAAAACAACACGTTTGCTCATGGCATTCCCACAACTACAAATATCCTCCCCAGATAGCAAGTCACATTCATTGTCTCACCACAGACTAAGAACAAATATTTCATTCTCAAGTTGGAAAAAAAATAGATTTTTGCCTCCAGAAAAAATTTCTTAACAGATATATTTCATGTTTTTAGCATCCCAATAACTTTAGAAAAATACTCTAAGAAACTGAAATGGCTTTCTTTTTACTGAAATGGCTTTCCTTTTAGTTTCTAGGTCTCACAGCTGCCAAATTTTTGTGAGATTAAGATGCTGCTGATCCAAGAAGGCTGTGATTCAGTTTGATCAGCCTATTTTGTATTCTTTAGATTGGAATTAAAATGTACAAGGACACCTGGGTTAATAATGAAAGTCTTGGAGTAATCTTTCCTGGGAGGATTAAAAAGTCCTTTACAAACATGATCTATTTATTCTCAACCACATCTCCAGGAGAGAATGAAGAGCAACTTGATCCTCATTGAACAAATGGTAAAGTGAGGGCAAAAAGAAAACATCAAGTCAGAGGCAAGTCTGGAATTCACCCATCCAGAAAGACTACCTGTATAGGCTTAGGCTCTCAAGAGACATTTTGGGGATGAAAACAGGACCTCTTCTTCAATGTTCTTTTTCTTCTTGTTCTATTACCAGCACATAGTGTCTTAAATATGCAGTATAGCTTCCTTCCTTTGAAAATGAAGCCTTGAAAAGTATAGAAGACATTTTTAATCTCATTTTTCCCAACATTGGGATCAGGCAGTTTTCTAACACTTAATAATAAAAAGAATGCTATAACTGGAATTTTAAATGTGTATCTGAGAAATGGTCCCTTATAACAGATGTTTTCAGTTTTTTCAAATGCTTTAAAGAGTTTGACGTCATCAGCATGTGTGAAAATTTTAATTTTTTTCTACTGCCTTTCTTTTAGGAAATGTTATCATTGTAGAATTACTGTCAACTTACAGATATTTGTTGGTCATTTCAAAGTAACTTTTTAATTGTTTTTTTTTTTCCTTAGTGTTTGTTCATGTTCTGAGTTTATCTGGTTATGGACCACATAGGCTTCAAACAAATTTGTTAATTGATATTTTCATGCTATCCACAGAATTCATGTAAGTTTTAAGGCTAAATGTGCATGTGGATGTCTACTGGTTTTGATCCCTTGTATGGTAAATAAACATCCAAGGTAGCTATGGAAACCTGAGCCCCTGAGGGGGTTTGGAGGAGGATATTTAGTCAGAGAGTAATTTATTTAATTAGGCAAAGATGGAGACAAATATTTAATCCACAAGATTTGAGTATTCTAGTTCATCCAAATCAGCGTGAGTTCTCTTGATAAGAAAAAAAATACATACATACATACATACATATATCTTGACTAACTACATCAGAATATTTGGGAAACGTAATTTAAATTATTTTTAATCAACTGTTTGCTATGCTCCTAGAGCAAATTGTAAAATGAAAGAGATGTCCAACATATGTCAAGGTTGTTGGTATCTTTGTTATACTTAATGTTGACATTTTCATAACTCCAAGCCAGGATCTGGCTGGAGTGTGTATTTCACTTATCTACCTGCAGGGGTCAGACTTGAAGTTTTCATGGTGAAAGTCCAAGCCTTGGACACCACTGCAGGCATCCCCAAGCAGAGCCAGAGAGATTACTCTGCTTATATGAAATAATTAATTAGCAATTCTTTAACCTTGTGATAAAATCTTTTATGAAAACAAGTTCATTCAAGGAAGTGAATATCAAATACACTGTGATTAAAGCAAAACACAGCCAGGTCAAACTGGAACTTAATCTCTGTGTAGATATAGGGAAGTTTATAAGGAAGATTTTGGGTGTATGATCAGCCCCTTTCATCCAGTAAACTCATCTTATGGGTTTTGTTTTAGGTTCCTTACTGAGTCTTGTTAAGTGGCATGATGTAGACATTTCTTTTAATTAGATGACACACTATTAAATGTCCATCTGAATTTAAAAGATTTTTTTCCCTAGATGAAGATATTCTTTGATACAACCTTGAAATCTGCAATGTCTTCCAGAAAGTGGTGTTAAAGGGGTCAAACATTGTGGTATCCACAAATGTCTATAGGAGAGTTTACTAAAAGAAAATAATCGAAAACTAAAATTTTGAAAACTTATCTCCTTCATGTTTTAAAAGGCAAGTTCTGAGTTCAAAAAGCAAAAGCAGAAAGTGATCATGATTTTAGCATATAACTGTCTGTTAAAGGTTCCATATTCAGTCAACTGTGTATGATAAAAAACTATCAAGTTTCTTCATTTCTTTTTTTTTATAATTAATTTAATTTTATTTTATGTGAATCATTGTGAAGGTGTCAGATCCCTTAGAAATGGAGACAGTTGTGAGCTGCCATGTGGGTGCTAGGAATTGAACCTGGGTCCTGCAGGAACTGAGGAAATTATCTTTATTTGTGACATTTAGTTAT